CTGCCAACAGGGATGCACAAAACATGTCACCTACTTCCTGCTGAAGCCATCGCACCTCCAGGTTTCTCCCTCTCCCAGGGCCTTCCCACAGAGCCAGATTCACATTGACAGTATTTGCTCCTCCTCGGCCTCTGAAAGATTCTGCATTCTGGCTTAAGGGAGATAACAAACTCAGCCCTCAATCCATCAGCTGTCGTCAGATGCTCACACTCCAGTGTTGCTTAGACTCTCCTTTACCCTCACTCCCACCAGAACACTGGTATTACTATCCCTTTTAGTTGTAATCAAAGCCAGCTCCTCTAAAGAAAGAATCCTTATCAAATGCTTTGGTCTCATGTTGACCTGGCACACGGGACCCAAAGTGCTTTTTGACACTAGGCCTGGAAACACAGAGAATGGGACTATCCTGGTAATGTCCAGGATGGGTATTCTTGGAGAGGATATAAGGAAAACAGACAAATGGAGGGATAAACTCAGCACTATGCAAAGGATGAAAAGCAAAAGCTTATTAAAGCCAGGAAAAATGCTACTGGTAGGAGCCTTGATGTTTGGACAGCCAGCTCAAAGCTGCTGGCAGGAAGCTCAGGAACAGAGCGTCCTGGGCTGAGATCTTGGAGAGGACGTGCATCCAGCTTGCATGCCCAGTACTGTTATGATTCAAGTCCCATTGAGGGTGAAATGTTCTGATTTGAATCCACTTGTTAGCCCACAGCTACATGCTTCTACATCAGCAGTTTAGCAGGAAAATAAATAATATCACCTTTCACAGTGTTAGTGACCTCAGCTCAGAAAGGTATTTCCCTCCAGCTGCTTTAAAGGCAACAAACCCTGGCTGCTCCCTTTGCCAAAGCATGAGCACCATCACCCTGCCAGACTGAGGCCACAACTAAACACAGAGCCAACTGCTCACCTTGAGTTTGCTGAATGTCCCAACAGTGTGATCCCAGGCTGGCACCAAGTGATGCAAGACACTGTCCAGAAGCTTGATGAACCTAAATCCCAAAGAAGGTATTGCAACAAGGAGCGATGAGGATCTGCACAAGTCTATTCCAGACCGCACACTCCTGAACACAAGCAGAAAAATAACTGATCCAAACCAAACCCAGCAGAGTCTTTTACATCATGGAGCCTTTGGTACTAAATTCCCACTCCCTGGGCACTGCAGGCATTTTGCATCCCTAACAAGCAACTCTGCATATACCTGCCCCCGACACTGCACAGATATATTGTTCTTGTGACATACAAGACACTGTAAATTGAGTTACAGAACTCCTCTGAAAGCATAAGAGAGCCACCCCAGAGAGCCCACTTTGTTCTCAAATGATTGCTATTTTCTCCAGTGTCCAGGACATCTATCTCAAGAGAAGTGTTGTGATAGTTTTATAGTTTCCAGCCATGCACATGCTGGAGATGGCATCAATCCCTGCAGGCAATGGCACCTGTCTGCTCCCCTCCACACCGTACCTTTGAATGAGCACGGCCCGTCGGTACAGCAGGTCAGGGTCAGTCCCTTCTAGACGAGGGTAACGCACCAAATTGGGCAACTGGAACATGTCAGCACTGAGCCCCAAGTCCCTCTGTCGGGAGGATTTGATTTTGATGCCTCGGATACGAACATCAATCCCATCATCTGCGAAGGAAGACCATGGATGATATGCCAAGATCACAAGAAAGCAAGCCTTAAATAAAGTGTAGGAGGTCTATAAGCAAAAACAGTAGGAATGTACCAGCTCCGGGGCTGGGCACCGAGAGCTTCAAATACTTCTGTGAAGAAGCAGGGCATTTACAGGAGAAAAAGAATTAAATAATTGAAGGCAGAGAAAAACAGGATGAAAGTTGAGAACTTCGAAACTTCAGATCTCCCAGGAGTTTCCCATGGTTCTTTTGAATCTCATCTAAAACAGCCCACAGGGAGAAGAAGTACAAGTCACAGAACAAACTCTTAATGTACAGTATTTTACAGGTGCATTATGGATGTGACCACAACAGCCATTCCTACCTCTACATTCCACAATCCGGATCTCGATGACGGGCAGGTGTGTTGTCATGTCCTCAAGGATGCACACATCCCCAATATAGCTCCTGCAAACACAGCACAGATGAGGACTGAAGGGCTGTTCCCTCATCCATCTTGCCAAAATCTACTCAGACACTTGTAAGGGAAGATGGTTTGCATCTTTTGAAATGGGAGCCCATGGCAAGGACTCAGTTCTTGCTAACAGTAGAGCTGAATGCCTGAACGTGCTGGTGACTCAGGTCCGGGTACCATGATCCTGTTATGTCCCACAATTGGATGAGGAGAGCCTGATGATCATACTGTGCTACTGCAGGCAGAGTGAACCCACATCCCAGAGAGCCTGGCTGGTGCTGCATGACTGCTTAAGGCCAGTGTTCAGTACCTTGGGCCCCAGCAAGAGCCATGACACCCTGTGCACCTCCACCCACTCACTCATCAATGCCGACATCGTTCAGTTTCTTCAGATTGTCCCCTTCGCCCCCGTACACAGCGACCCGCTTGGGCATGAAGTTCTCATCAGTGGTATCCACTGTCAGCAGCAGCTTCCTGCAAAGGGAAGCAGGAAATTAAGGAGAAGGCAACTGCATTTGAGCACCTATTGCTACTCCCTCTCATCCCTTGGTCATGTTACTAACAAGTTGGGATTCCCAGGTACCTGTGACAATGCTAAAACCCCTTCAAACCCAGAGCCAGAGTAAGGGGTGAGGGGCAGGGATCATGAGCAAATTTGGGTCATGACACTCACGCAGAGAGGGAGTGGCAAAGCTTGCCCCAATCACTAGCCAGCATGTAGAGCAGAGATGACTCACTTGACAATGGTGCCTTTCTTCATGTTGAGCCGCACCCAGTGCTGGCCCTGGGACCCATCACTCTCCCAGTATGTGTCAGCATGGCTGTCGGTCAGGCATGACACATTGAAGTCCTCCTGGAAGAAGGCAAGTGAATGAAACAAAATCAGATGGGTGTAGGATTAACTTATCTTTAGTGGTTACTTTCATAATGAATCTTAGTGTCAGATGGCATCACATTGGCCTGCTCCCTTTGCTGGGCTGTGGGTAGACACCATGAGTACAGAGCACACAAGACACTGGGGTTGACCCTCCAAGGTGCTCTGGGGTCACACACACAGCACAGTGTATCAAATCCTCCCTAAAATCAGATTTGCAGCTAATATTAGCACTGGCTTCTCAAACCACTGTCCTGCCAGGGGCTGCATTACACAACATGCTGCATGATACCCCCCAGGCTTTTCTACCACATCCTCAAACTGAATCCAGTCCAGGCCAGAGCAGCACAGCAAGCACTATCCATGCCTCCCAGCCCCATGGCACAGCGGGGCTGACGTAGCCTTGACCCTTAACCCACCGTGTAGGACGAGACATCGATGCTGTCCACGTACTGCTTAACACTGCCCAAGTTTTCATCCTCCTTCCCAATGTGGTCATACAGGAAATGCACCAGGTCTTCATCACATTCGTAAGTCCATGTTGGGGGCACAAACCTAGCAGGGAAAAGGGATTACTGGGTCAGGAGAGCAAGAGGCAGCTAGGCTAATGGGTCAAAAAAAGAAGGTCCACATCCTGCTTGTCTTGCCCCCTCTCTCCCAAGTCTGCAGGATACAGCTGTCTGGGCAGTCAAAAGAAAGCTTGTCCCCCACCGTAGCAGAACCCAGTTCATACCGAAGCTTCTCTACTGCAGCTTCATCCTGCTCCATGGGCCTGGGCTTTGCTCCGAGGCGCAGGGAATATGTCAAATCCACCACCTGTTCCCATCTGAAACAACACAGAGAAGTGGAGTAAGAACATCGTAGGAGGAACAAGAAGTTGGTGATTGAGAAGTAGCTGTAAGGAGAAGATTTGGGTTTAAAGACCCATCGTGCTCCATCCTCCATCACCTCCAGCATCATCTGCTGCCCTTTCCCTTCCAACTATGTCTACTCCTTCTACATCCCGCTTGGCATGTGACAAGCACAGTGCCCGAGCCAAACTCGGTTCACTCCACATCCAGCATCCCTCTTGCCTCACTTCCATGAAACCTGTCAAAGCAGGTCGGGGGTTCCCCAGCCCAAGGCAGGAGGGGCTGTGGGGCAGCATCCCAAGCCCGCACAGAGGTGAGCACCTTCGCCCTCCGGGGACCCAGCAGCAAGCACACCGCGGCGGCCCGCACCTGATGACAGGTTTGTAATCCACCCCGAAGAGCTGCTGCTGCCGCTGGATCCGCTCCGTGGACTCCACGGGCACCAGCCGGTCCCCGCCGTCGGCATGTTTGCACACCAGAACCCATCCCTCCTCGAGATCGCAGCCGCTCCGGTACTCCTCCAGCTGCTCCTGTGGGGATAGCCGGCGGTCAGGAGATGCCAGGCCGGGCCCTTCGCGGGCCGCCGCACCCACGTTACCTTGCTGAGCTTGACCCAGAGCCCGGCGCCGTTGCAGTACTCCTCGCCGGTGGCGCGCAGGCAGCCGCCCTTCCGCACCTCGATCGTGGCCCGAGCCGCTCGCTTGCCGCCCCGCGCCGGCCCCGGGCTGTCCCACACGCTGAGCAGGCTGCGGGCGGCGGCGGCCGCGGCGGCCGAGGGGTCCTTGCAGATCTTGTACTGCACCTCCCGCGGCACGTAGCAGAGCGCGGGGGGCAGCGCCTGGGCGCGGCGGAAGCACTCGCTGCACTGCAGCAGGAACCGCAGCCGACCCAGCACCTGGTGCGGTGCCTCCCCGTCCGACTTCATCGCGCTCCGAGCACCGACTCCGCGCCGCTCCGGTTTACGGCGAACCCCACCCGCCGACAGGCAAGATGGCGACGCCCGGTGGGGCAGACGTAGAGCAAGATGGCGGCGCCCGTGTCACGTACAGAGGAGCAAGGAGGGGGCATGATGGCAGCGTACGGAGGGGCGGGAAGGCGGGCAGGGGGGCGGGGCAAGATGGCGGCGTGAGGCGAGACGGGATGGGGGCGGGACGGGGGCGGGACGGGGCGGACTGCGCCGCGTCGGGAGGCAACAGAGAGGGCGGGGAGCGGCGCAGGAGGATGGAGGGTGGTGAGCGGCTCCTGTAAGTAACCGGGACCGGGCAGGCCTGCGTCCCTTCCTGGTGTAGTAACGGGGCCATGTTCCGGCGCCTGTACGGGGGACACCGGTGTGGCTCTGGGAACGGTGATCTGGCACTGTGGGAGCGCTAGGCATAGTGCTTTCGTGCTGAGATCCTGTACTGGGGACACTGGTGTGGTACTGGGAACACCGCCGAGGCACTCGAGTGGCCCTGGGATTATGGTGCTGGCACACCAGTCCAGTACTGGGTCACTGGAGAGGCTCTGGATCGGGAGGGAGGGGGTGATCCTGCACTGGGAAGGATCATCTGGGCTACTAGTGTGATAGTTAAGTTACTGGTCCCAAATGGAGGTTTTGGGGACTTTGTTCCCAAAGGCTCCGCGATTGCGGGCTCCCCCTCCCCGGCGCAGGCCGGACTCCTGCAGCCCCAAGCGGGAAGGTTGGGGACGGGGAGGCTGAGGACGCGTGGCCTGGCACAGACCGGGGGGAATGCAAGACTGCCCGCCCCGCGCCTCCTTCGTCCCAAATCTCTCCAGGCGGGAGCAACTGGTGGCCCTGATAACTTAATCTCGCGGACCTGGGTAGCGCATCGCCTCTCCCCCGGGGAGGCCCGCGGTCTTCAGCAGGAAGAAGTCCTGCCTGGGCTGTGATGAGGAGAGTTTATCACATTTGTCATAGCTGGGCGCAAGGCTCTTCTGTCAGGGAGTCGGGAGGAGCCGCTTACTCTGGCACCCTCTGCCCCAGTCGTGGGGGCCTGGCAGGGCACCCAGACCCCTCGTGGGTGACAGTCTGTACCTGCTCTTTGCTCCGCAGCCCCAAAGGCTTCCCCAAGCTGAAGAACGACACGTTCCTGCGGGCGGCGCGCGGGGAGGACACGGAGTACACCCCGGTGTGGTGCATGCGGCAGGCGGGGCGGTACCTGCCAGGTGAGCGGTGGAGGTGTGCGGGGTGTAGCGAGGGGGCCTCAGCAAGCACCCAGTAACATTTGTGGTGGTTCCTTGTAGAGTTTCGGGAGACACGGGCATCACAGGATTTCTTTGCCACTTGCCAGACCCCCAAACTGTGCTGTGAGCTGACACTGCAGGTGAGCATCACTCAGGGGTCTGTGTGTCCCCTCTCCCTGCCCAGATGGGGATGGGGAGAAACCTTGGTTCTCAGTAAATTGTGCAGGCCTTCAGGACTCCGTTGCCTCATGTGCTTGACCGAATCCTCCATGGGAAGGGAGTTGCACTCACTAACATTGCCTCTTCCTCTGTGCAGCCACTAAGACGATTCCCCCTGGATGCTGCCATCATCTTCTCTGACATCTTGGTGGTGCCCCAGGTGAGAGCCGTAGCCAATGCCATGCGGGACAGCAGCTGGTAACAGGGCAGAGTTCAGGGCTGTCTCATTTCTGCTTTTCCATTCTTTTCCATTCTCCCCTGTCCCCAGGCGCTGGGCATGGAGGTTGTCATGGTCCCTGGGAAAGGACCCATATTCACAGAGCCCCTGAAGGAAGTGGAAGATCTGCTGAAACTGCGACAGAAGGTGGATGTCACCGCAGAATTAGGTTATGTGTTCCAGGCCATCACACTGACACGACACAGCCTGGAGGGCAAGGTGCCCCTCATCGGCTTCTCGGGAGCACCAGTAAGTGACGTGGCTCCTCTGTGTGGGTTTCCCTGATGGGCTGCTCTGCTCTCTTGGAGTGAGACCAGTTATGGCACTCCCAGATGTGGGTGCTATATGGGTGCATAAGGGGGGCATTCAATGCAGGAGCTGCTGTGCCCCAGGCTCTGGGATGCTCACAGTTCCTACCTTCAGCACTGCAAGTGGGACTTTGTGTCTTCTTTCATCTCCATCACTCTCTTCACTCCTCCCCACAGTGGACGCTCATGTCCTACATGATTGAAGGTGGTGGCTCTACTACAATGGCCAAGGCCAAGAGCTGGCTCTATCGTCACCCTGAGGCAAGCCACAGGCTGCTACGCCTGCTGGCCGACGTCATCATTGACTACCTGGTGGGGCAGGTGGCTGCTGGAGCACAGGTGTGTCCAGAGGTATTGGGGACAGGGCCAAGAAGGAAGGCAGGGACTGGGGACAGGGAGCAGAGAGGGTCCAGCATCTGGAAGGAGGAGGAGAGACTGCGGTGCTGCTCTCCTAGTCCCATGGGAAAGTGGTTGAGTAGCCATCCCTGGAGGTATTTGATAGACAAGTAGATGGGGCACTTGGGGACATGCTTTACTGGTGGATTTGGCAGTGCTGGGTTAATGGTCAGACTCAATAATCTTAAAGGTGTTTTCCAGCTTAAAGGATTCTTTGACCCTGACAGGCGCTCCAGCTGTTTGAGTCCCATGCAGGGCACCTGGGCCCAGAGCTGTTTCAGGACTTTGCTCTACCTTACATCCGAGACATTGCCCAGACTGTCAAGAGCAAGCTGAAGGAGGAGGCACTGCCCCTGGTGCCCATGGTGAGTCAGGGCTGCCTGGATTGACCCTGACATCTGGGGGCTGCTGGAGAGGGGTGCATCCCCTGGTACCTGCTTCCCTCAATCCAGCCTGTGGAGAAGGGTCTGACTCACAGCAGTTGCTGCCCATCTCCTCCCTCCCTAGATCATCTTTGCCAAAGATGCACACTACGCCCTGCGTGACCTGGCCCACGCTGGTTATGAGGTTGTTGGTCTCGACTGGACCATCCGGCCCCAGGAAGCTCGGTAAGAGTCTGACACAGTGCTCAGGTGTCTGGGCAGGATCCCAGACAGGTACTCTGACCTCCTCCTCTGCCCTGAGTCATCCCAGGCCTGGACATTGCTGCTCCAAAGGTGGGGATGGTTGGGCCACCATGCTACAGCTTCTAAAGGCTGAGGGGTCCTGGGTGTCCTGTGGTGGGGGCTGCAGGCACCTGGCTGCCCTCAGCCTCTATACCACATGCTGCAACTCACCTGCTTCCTCCCTGCTGCAGTGCACAGATAGGAAAAGATGTCACCCTGCAAGGGAACCTGGATCCATGTGCTCTCTATGCACCCAAGGTGAGCCATGGCCATTGCCAACAACTAGGGCTAGTTATAGCCTGTTACAAAGGCCTTCTGCCTCAGCTTCCCCACCTGCAGCACTGGGTCATATCCCAGCAGTCCCCTAGGCTAGCTGGGGGGGACTGGTAGGGGTGAAATACCCTGGGCTTGATCAGTCTGACACATGGTTTCCTACCATACCTATAGGAAAAGATTGGCGAGCTGGTGAAGAAGATGTTGGAGAGTTTTGGGACCCAACGCTATATTGCCAACCTGGGCCACGGCCTCTACCCTGACATGAACCCTGAACATGTGGGTGCCTTTGTGGAAGCCGTGCATGCTCATTCCCGTCATATCAACAAGCACAGCTGACCCTGGGGTCTTGGGGACAGGACTCTGGTTTGGGCACAGTCACCTGTTTTGTCACAGGGTTCACTCTATGCTGGGCTGCAGCATTAAACAAGGACCTTCTCTGCAGCAGCCGTGTGGCTCTGGCTGGGGAGGATGGGGAACTGGACGGCCCTGAAAGAGATGGGAAGTCATGGCAGGCTGCTAGAGGAGCATGTGTGGTGAGGGGGAGCCCGTGAGCCCCATCCTGCAGGTCAAAATGGGGAAACAGGGATGACAGCAAATTGTGGAGGATGCCTCTCCCTGCCAGGCTGGAGTGTCCATGCTTGCAACAGAGGATGTGAGCCCAAGGCACAAGAGCCATCTCCTCAAGATGGATGTGCTCAGCCCTGCTAGGGAAGGTGGGCTGCCTGAGGCTGGTAGGGTCATAGCCCAGCACTGGCAGAGGCTCAGCATCAGCTGTTCCACAGTCCTGTTCAGGTTGGAATGGGCAGTGTATCTTCAACTCGGGGTAGTCTCAAGGGGCTGGGAAACCCAGCAGGACTCACCTGGGAGACAGCTGGCAAAGTGGCAGGAGAACCTCTGACACAGCACCACCAGCACCCTGCCACACAGGCTAGGATGGCAGCAGAGGCAGTATGGCCCTCCTCCTCCAGCTCCCAAAGGCTCTTTAGGACCATCCCCCTGGTCCTAGAGTGCCCCATGCATACCTCCCCCTCTCCCCTCATCCTCAGGGCTAAGCTTGCCTGGGGCTCAGCAAACCCTGCAAAAAGCAGCCCAGGAACCCTGAGTTACAACTCCTTGCTACCTCATCCCACACTGCAGCACACTCACTGTGGTCCAAGTTGGTGGCAGGATGGATCAGGATATGGGCAGAAATGCTGCTGTAGCTGGCATGGACAGGGCAGTGTCTCCAGCGCAGTCAAGGACCTAACACTGTACATGGCAGGGAATTGCACCCAGAAACAGCTGGGGTGCCTTGTCCCTGCTCTGTCCACCTCCCTGGGGCACAGGAGCTGGCTACCACAGGGTGCTGCAACACTGCTCTGCACAAGTGGGGTGAGCCCCCCTGACTTCAGAGAAAGGCAGGAGAGACACAGGCAGTAACGTTCATCCCTTTTATTATTAAACATCAGATGAAGAGGTCGCACACACACATACACGCACGCACGCAAAAAAAAAAAAAAAAAAAAAAAAGGGAAGGAAAAAAAGAGAGAAACAGACTGGTTGAAGACTGCTATTTCGGTGGCGACACAGACCGAGTACAATTGGGTTCCTGGCCAGAGCGCGGACACAAGTCACTTGCCAAAAAATTAAACCAGACAGCAGATAACTAGCGCACGTTCTTCTAACTACAAGTCACCCTCCAGACCGGCCCTGGCCTCCCAGCCCTCCCAACCTGCTGGCAAAGAAACAAAAATTGAAGAGCCGCTAGCCCGGGGCTGGAATGTGCCCTGAGCGCGGGGCGAGCCGGGAAGGGCCGAGCGCTGGCTGCACCACGGAGCTGGGAACGGTGCGGGAAGGCGACGCGGCTGCCCCTCCCTCCCCCGGAGCCGGCAGCCCTGGTGCCCGCCCAGGCACTCGCACCGTGCACCCGCCCTGCGATGGGCTGAGTCCGCCAGCATCTGCGTGTGTCCGAGCAAGCATCGTCCCCAGTTGCTTCCGTCGCTGTCGTCCAGCGCTGGGCTGCTGCTCCTCCGTCCATCTGTCCATCCGTCCCAGGGCTGTGAGTCGAGCAGATGTTCGCCTCCCCCCCACACCCTTCTTGCTGCTGACGATGCCATGGGAACCTGAGAAATGTTCGCGTGCCTCCTCCTCTTTTTGTCTGTGGTTTTGTGTGGGTTTTTTAAATAATAGTTATAATAATAATAACAATAATAATAATAATAGCAATAATAAAAATAATCGCCCCAGCCCACAACAATTTCAAGTATCCCCCAAATAAAAGACAGAATTATAAATAATTATAACTTTACAATTTAATAATTGACACATATACTATAGTATTTACAGTATCATAAATGCTTTTTTTTGTGTTACTTTTAGTAAGCAATCCCTGAGAACAGTTACTTTTACTTGTTTTTATTGAAGTATCTTCACAAATAGAGGAGTTTGCATGTCTCGGGCGGGCAGGAGAAGCGCTCTGCAAAGCCATCGCTTTTGGTGACGCATGAGGTTCTAGTGTCGCAGGTTTCTTTGCTCGCTTTTTTTTCCTTTTTTTTTTTTTTTTTTGTTTTGTTTTTGTTTTGTTAAATTTCCCACATAATTTTAAAGACTCTTCACTTTGCAACCTTCGTATCCCTCCAGCGACCACGTCCTTTAGGAAAGAGGTATTAGTTTCCAGGTTAGCTTTTGGTATTGGCAAGGGAGGGCAGGGGGCTGGGTAAACTATCCTTTTTCCCCGTGGTTGCCTTTTGGTTTGTGCCCAAGGAATCTCTGGATCCTCTCAGTGTGTGAAATCGTTAAATCCAAGAAAGAGTAACACTAAAAAGAAAAAAAAAAAAAAAAGAAAGAAACAAAACAAATAAAAAAAACCCAGAAGACCAGAACAGAGCAGCCTCTACCAATGGGGGGGAAGCTGATCTCCACTTTCCTTCCTTCTTCTCTCCCAAGTCACCATGCTGCGGCCAGACCCTGCCAGTGACCATGGCAGGAGCCGGGGCTCACCCAAACCGTTCTCGCACCAGCAGCATCAGTTTTTTCTTGCCTTTGTAGATTTGTTTAAGATTGTCAATGAATTGGGCAAACTGTATGTGCCCATCCTGCGCCAGGAGGAAGGTCTCCCTGGCCTTGCTGAGGAACTCGATGAACTCCCCATAGTGCCGTGGGCTGATGTGGGTGAGCCGGGAATGGGTGGTGTTGATGTAGGCGCTTATCGTCGCGTCCAGCAGCTGCCGCAGGGGGGCTTTGTCAGTGGACATCAGCTTCCCCGAGTTCCTGCGCCCAGGGATGCCAGCCAGCCCCGGCGCTGTCATGGTGCAGCGGCGAAGGATGTCCGAGAGCACTGTGGCACAGTGCACACTCTTCACCACCAGTGGGATGATGGCTGCCAGCTCGTTTTTGCCCAGAGAGTGGCTCAAGGCGCAGGCCCAGAGCACATCATTGATGGCCGGGTGAGTGTCCTGGTTGTAAGCCAGGTTGAGATGTGTCATGGCCAGTGAGGCCAGTTTGAAGGCTCGGAGTGGGTAGCCCCGGTGTTCCATGTAGCGGGCGATGGTGAAGAGCTGGGTGTAGGTCATGCCGGTGGAGGCAGCGTCAATGACGATCTGGTAGGCGGTCTCGAAGGCAATGTGATCCTTCTCACAGAGGGTCAGGGCGGACAGGGCGCAGTTCTGGGGGTCCTTCATGGCGCACTGCAGGGCCAGGGTACGGGCACAGCTGGCCAGCTCTTCCCGCTGTGGGTAGTCCAGGCTCAGGCGCAGGATGGTGTTGTGGGACATCACTGTGGCTGCCACAATGCTGGTGGCTTCCGTGGGAGTGAACAGTGAGTACCAGCTCTGCAGGATGCTCACCAGGGCCCTCACTCCTGCAAGAAAACACTGAGGTCACAGCACGGCTCTGGAACCTGACTCAGTTCATGGGGCTCCTCTGAGACCCAGAGACAGGGCAAAACCAGCCCACAGCAATGCTGTGCTGCTGCCTCTGCCCTAAGAAGGACAGGGCACAGGGGGACAGGCAGAGGCCAACCCACACTGCAATGCTGCAGGGCACAGAGACCACCACTGGCTTGGGCCAGGTACAGGACACCCATCCCAGTCCCACAACTGGCCACTGTTGCAGTCCCAACCCTGTCAGCTGGTGCTCTGAGGTGAATTCAGTTACCCAGGAAGAAATGAGAGACTCAGGAGAACTCAGATGCTCAGAGCTAGTCATGCCCCTAAGATGTCCATACACAGCCCTGCTCCCACTGCATGCAGGCCAGACCCTCCAACGCACACAGAACTCACCCACTTCGGTAGCACACGTCACCAGCCACCTCACCATCTCCCGCCGCCGCCAGTTGAGGGTGGACAGGGTCATACGCATCACCTGTGAGGCAAACTTGGGGTGACTGGCTGCCCTGCAGGGCTCCAGTGAGGCCACCCAACAGAAATCCCTCTGTGTTCCCCAGAAATCCCTCTGGTTCAACTGGCTACCAACTACCTAGCATTGCCTCACTGCCATCCAAACCACAGTGAGCACAGGGGCTTCCCAGGGCTGAGGTCCCCTGCTCAGTACCATGCAGGGATCAATTTACTCCATCCACAGGGAGCACCATGCTTGGTGGAAGACCATGACCAGCATGGCTGCCACAGCAGAAGTGGGGCAGAAGGGCCACCAGCATCCCCAGCATCATTCCGTACCTGAAGCCCCAGTTCCAGCGCCACATTGAGCAGTGTCGTGTCAGAGTTGCTGTCAGCTGGCGTGGCAATCTTAAATGCATCCTGAGCCAGCTTGAAGATCAAGGAGGAGGAGTGGATGTTTTTCTGGATGGCCTCCAGCACCGTGCGGAGGCGCAGCATGTCCCCTGGGAGCAAGAATGAACGGTAAGATGGCTCAGGAATGCCCCCAGTTTGCCCTGGAGCCTCATCTCTTGCCTGCGCCACGTGATGAACAGTCCCTTCACCACGGCCAGCCCCTCTGGACACACAGCAATCCTGGATCAGGCCCTGCAGTCCAACAGTCCAAAATGGAGCACCCTCCCCAGGAAGTGACACATCCTACAGCAAGTGTCCTCACTCAAGTTCATCCTCTCACAGAGAGGACAAACAAACCTGATTGATCCCAGACACGTCCTGTCTTTAGCAGACTTCTCCAGGCACCTGGATGTTCCACCCTGGCCTCAAGTTTGACAGCTGTACAGCAGCTTCTTCCCAGAAAAGGAGGGGCTTGGGGAGATGCCTAGTATTGAACGGCTGCAGAAACATCACTCTTCATCCAGGAACATTAGGAAGAAGAGGAAAAGCTGTTTGCTGCACACACACTGTCTTGCCCAGCAAGACCCCTCTTGCAAGGCTGGGCTTACCCAGACTTGCTGCACCTTGGTCCTCGATGTGCCAGGTCAGGCACACAGCACTCAATTGAGACAGGCTGAGCTATCCCCAAAGAAGGAGGTTCATGGCACAATATCCAACGGTGCTGTGGGTCTCCTGCTACAGGAGATTGTGAGTGCTAGGATATGTAATGGCACCAGGAGATGGGCAGGATCTTGGAAGAGGGACACATCAAGGCATATCAGTATCATGACCCTGCACCTAGCTTGGGAAATCCTCCTATCAATCCCTGTGGGGCACAGTGTGGTGAGTGAGACCTTTGGGCTGTGCACAGACCAGAGCTGCCAACATGCCACATGAGGTTCCAGCTTTATTTCTACTCCTAGTCATAGACTGAGCAGATGAACCTCATGCAAAGACAACCAAATCATGCATAGCAGTGTGAAAAACCCAGTGCTGCACCTGGACACACAGAGACATCTCGGGTGACTCATAGCTAAAGATATCACCTGCCACCCACCACAGCCACTTGCATTGCCACCAAAATCCAAGCCTCCCTAAAATGGCTTGTGGGGGCATGGGCAAGAGAGGCTGCAGGATCACACTGGGATATGCTGCAGCAGAGGAGCACTTGAGGAAGGGGACAGTGGTAAAAATAAATGCAATTCAACAGCCCTACATCCCTGGCATAAAAACCCAATCCCATTAGGCACTGGAAGAGAGAAAAAGAGCTAAAGGATAAGCCAAGTACCAGCTCTTCATCTGGGCACTGCAAACTGGGCAGAACACCATCAGCCCTGGTAAAGCAGTCTAGAGGAGGAGGCTCGAAGGAGAGAAGAGGCTGCCAAAGCAGTGAGGCTGGAGCTTTCTGACAGCTCATTTCCCTTCCCTCTAGCTGCCTGTCAGGCTGGCAATACCAGGGCATCAGAGGGCAGTGATAACTTCTTGGCTCACTGACCCTCATGGGACACAAGACTCTTGCCATCCTGCTGAGGTTGGTTTCTGGTCAGGGGATGTTTAATGAAAAGCCTGTGCTCGCCTTCATTATAATGCCTGGGCAGGAACTGGAGAGGCCCAAGAGACCCGTGAGGTGTTTCACAAGTCCTTTGCAGCTGGGACCAAAGTGGACTTGTGGTTTGGTGCACAGGGAGATCTTCTCCCTCCCACAGCCTATGCAGGATCTTTACCACAGGGCAGAAGAGACAAAGCAGAGATGAAAGGATAAACAGCTTCAACTTAAACCATGGCATGACCTCATGACATGCCTGGCAGGGATTGCTGGCCTGGGTACTAGCTGTGCTGCAGAGAAGACATGGTCCTACATCACCTGGGGCAATACCCAGGACCTGCAGCAGTGTGGCTGCAAGGCCTGCCTGTGCCTCATTGGACATTCCCATCCTGCCTTGCTGGACCATGAATCCTCTGGGACAAGAATCCCAGAAACCCCAGATTCTCAAAGCCAGCTCATCATGCCCTGCCCACAGCAGATTGCCAGTGGGGTACCCAGCCAGTCTCTGCCAGTGCCAGCAGAAGCAAGAGCTCCTTCCTTTCTTCAGGAAAAACTCTTCAATACTCTTGTGCACCATCATCCCATCAACCCTACCCCAGAACTGCCCTGCCACCAACCTTTGGCTGCTGTGAGCATGGTGGAGGCCAGCTCACACTGCTGTGACTCCAGGTGCCCCAGAGTGAACCAGCGTGGGTACCTGCTGGGGACCACTGAGACCAGGTGGTGAGGGTGAGTCACGTCGCCGGATGGTGCCGTGGTCTCCAGGACAGGCAACCTGAAGGGCAAGCAGGAGGAGGCAACATCAGACCTCAGCCCAGCCCCAGCTTCACCTCCTCTCCCTGTGGTGCTGCCAAGGCGAGGCAGGGGCTGCCTGCAGGCTGCTGCCTGCAGCAATGCCTTTGAACACATCCTGCTGCTGTGCACGTGTGGGGCTCCCAAGGCTGCATGCTCAACACATGGGCACAGGGATCAATCTGAGACTGACTTGAAAGGGGGGAGAAAGATCCGTGGAGTGATTTATAAACTTGTAAGGAAAAGCACAGACCTCAGAGAAAGAAAAAAGGAAGAAAAAAAGTAAAATCCCTCCTCCCCTCCCGCTCCTTTCATGTCAAAGCACCCGGCAGAACTCCTGACTGTATCATCTGGTTTTTCTTAAAACGCTTGGTTATGATCAGAAGCAGCAGCACATTTCCCCAGGGCCTCTGCAGCCAGGTTAGGTTGCCTGTTTTTGTGGGCACATCCAAAAGCCTGGAAAACCTGGGGTAAGAAGCAAGCCTAAAGAAGGAGAGTAGGAGTCTCAAGTCACCAGCCATGACAAATCCTAAACCCCTGGCGTCGCTAACTTGACAGAAACTGCACCCTGGACATCCAAGTGTCTCTGCTATCCTCACTGGCAGGCTTGAGATAACTACAGGGCAGCAGAAGCCAAACCTTTCCAGCCCCGGACACAGATACCTCAACACAGGGAGTCCTAGCTGGGAGCAGGGAATGGGTACAGATGGCATCTCTGAGGCCCTCGGTCCTGTTCAATGGCCAGAGGTCTCAGGTCTGCAGACCACAGAGGCCTTTGGCTGTTTATTAAACCTGGTTCTCCGCTTGAGCAGCTCTTCCCAGGATAGGGGGATTTCAATTTTTCCCACAGTGTTGGGGAGAGATGACCCATTTCTGTGTGGAAATGCTGCAAAAAAGGTGATGCTCTAGAGGGGCCAGCACTTTTAATGGTGGTAGAGAGAGAGAGAGCACTGGAATGCTCTGGAGTTGACAGTCCTCCAAACATTGACTTGTTTAGGAAATTCCAGCTTTTCCAAGACCCATCCAGTCCCAGCTTTATTGTCAAAACAATGCAATACACAGGCTGATGTCTGAAGTGTATCATGGATTGGGGAAGGAGATAGGGCAGCTCTCTCCCAGTCTCAGGGACAGAGATGGGTTTTAACGGAGAACAGAGTGTAACTGTGTTCTCCACTTGGCTCTGTGACACCCTGGAGCCCAGGGCAAACCATCCACCCATCTGTGCCAGGATAACAGCCCTTCTTGCAGGCAGGGAGGGCTGCAGGGTGCCTGAGGCCTCGCAGACAGAAGGCAGATGACAGCTCTGTGTGTGCCTGGGACCAGCTCTGGCACAGGATGACTGTCACAGGGACAGGCAGGTGGTGGTCCAGCCTGGAGCGAGGGGCTGGGTGGAGGGATGGGCCAGCAGACATTACTGGACCCATGAAAATCCATATGGATGGAGTTTATAAACGAGGAATCACACAGATAGAAAGCAGGAACCTCTTTGCACTGCTGTTGTGCCCAGTGGCCCTACACACTGCAGAAGATCCCATGGATGGCAAGCTCCAAGCTTGTCTCCACTCGCATCCCTGCTCTAAAGTTGCAAAGTATCCCAGCTTCCCAACAAGCACAGGAGAGAGGCAAAAAGGGGAGCAGAGACAGAATTAAACATGCACCAACCTCATGGCCCGCAAAGCCAGCTTGTATGCCAGGTCAGCATCGTGGGGCAGCAGGGCAGAGAACAGGTATTTGGCAAAGGTGTGCATGGGGACGCTCTCCCGGTGGATGACTTCTCCCAAGCCGCTGAAGGGACCACCTAGGCAGAAGCAGAGCCCATCAGCCATAATTAGCACAGCAGGATCTGTGGCTGGGGTCTGCACCACCCCAAAGCTGTGAGGATCTGCTGTTCAGCTCCCTGGTGTGTTACCCAAGTTGGATCCAGGGATGCTCCTTCCTTCTCTAAAAGAAAATAAGAAACTGAAGCCACGTGCTTAGCACCCTTCTCCATATTGCCTCTGACTTGGTCTTTTTCTAGGGATGCCAACAAACCCTTGCTTTGCCAGGTGATAGGGCAGAGCAGCCATCCTACAGGCTCTGCACCACATCCAGAGAGGAAGAAGAAGAATGGGCATAAATTTTGAAAAGGGCACCTCAGAGATGTTATCAACACTCGGCTAAGACACTAAGTCAGCTAGATGAGCCAAGTCCCCACCTTCCAGCAGCAAGATGCACTGCTTCCGCAGGGTCTGCACCAGCACTGGGTCCAGCTCCAGGTCCTGCAGCCGGGCAATGATCTGCTCCTCATTGCGGCAAACCTTGTCCTGGGCATAGAGACCTTCAGGCATCACTCTCTGCTGACCCATCCCCATCAGGGCCACCTCTAAGGCCAGGGACAGGTAGGACTCATCACCCTCTTGGCTGCCGGTCACGACGGGCACATGTTGATACACTGGTGGTTTGGAGTCCCCAGCGTCTGAAAGGAGGAAGAGGAGATGCAGTGGGGTTAAAAGAGTCTTCCCAGACAGCAAAATCATTGCAGAGAAAAACCTCTCACTTCAGGAGCAAGACTCACTCTTCCCGTCCTGCCTGCTTTCAGTTACCCAGAAACAACAGATGAAAGCTCCCTGAGGGAGATGTGGGCTTCACCCTCTCTTGCTGCTCACGTTAAGAGATGCTAGGAGATGTAGGAGACCCAAAACATGTGCAACAGGGTGCACAGCTACACCAGAGCCTTCCCATGGACCTGCTCTGCTCTGGCTTCAAACCCTGAGACTGAGAAAAATCTATTTCTCTCTACTCACTACCTTCTTTGCACTGCAGCTCTGACCTGGTGCTCCTGCCAAGGCAGAGACGGGGGGACTCAAGATTCCAGGCGTCCAGAGCCCCAGATCTGCACCCACCTCAGCCACAGCCACCAGGAAGGGATCCAGGAGGAGCACTTGGTACCTGAAATTTCAAGGCAGTTTTCCTCTTCTAATCTACAAGCTTCGGTCAGGGTGAGAAAGAGGCAGCCAATGGGGTTCAGAGGGTGGCCTACCCAGCCCTCCAGGTTCGTGATGGTTGTCGCTCCTCGCTGCAGCAGCTCTGGATAAAATAGAACAAGATGATGGTAAAAGTAAGGAATTCAAAGACAAGTTCTGCACCCAGAGAGGCTTATGAGACCAGAGGACTTTCTTGTCCCACAGCTTGGGTCACAGGGACCTCTAGGGCCAACTCTGGCATGGTAGTTCACAAGGGCAAGGAGCAGCAAAGAGCAGCCACTTTGCACAGACAACTGAGGGAGCAGGCACACACATTAAAACAAGGTGTCCCTAAGGGCACATAAGATGCAGCGACTCATTCTTTGTTCCAAGAGGACATGAGGGTCTGCAGAGTCCCAAAGAAAAGGTCTATAATGCCAGAACTGCAGCTCAAAGACTGATTTGCAATAGTAGCCTGAATGTTTTGGAAACACAAGCAGAAATCTCTCCTGAGATGACAAAGACTTTCAGTGAATCTTAGAAATTCCATCTTTTGGTGATCTCAAGCTGGCTGAGCTGGCAAGGACCAGGAGTCGCTGACCTTCAGCAGCGCTGCAGTAACTGACCCCGGCTCCTTGCCAATTGCAACTGCAAAAGGAGCAACACTGGGCTTGTCTCCTGGTACATTTACTCAGGAAATGCAAGGTGGAAGTAGCACACACAGCCAGTTACTGCTGCTCTGCAGTCAGACAGGTCCTCTTCAATGCGGGCAGCACTTGCCTGGGCAACCCTTACAGGCAACCAGACACAGCAACAGTGGGAACAGGAACATCCCTACTGGAGCAGCCTGAAGACAGCATGTGGCCAGCTCTGTCCTTAGCATGTGGGTATCAACTCAAGCAAATTGGTTTGTCTTCTGAGGACATGAGCAGTCCCTCTGCAGTGCTGACCATCCTCGACCTCTGCCACTCTGAATGGGGCAGCACAATTCTTACAGAATCATAGAATCACTAGGTTGGAAGGGACCTTCAAGATCATCGAGTCCAACCTATGCACTAAGACCTCAACTAAACCATGGCACTGAGTGCCACATCCAGTCTTTTTTTAAAGACATCCAGGGATGGTGACTCCACTGCCTCCCCGCGCAGACCATTCCAGTACTTTATCACTCTTGCAGTAAAAAACTTTTTCCTAATATCCAACCTATATTTCCCTTAGTCCCTTATTTCCCTTAGCAGCTTAAGACTGTGTCCTCTCGTTCTGTCAGTTGCTGCCTGGAGAAAGAGACCAACCTCAAGTGGCTACAACCACCTTTCAGTTATTGTGGCCAAAATGCAGGACTCAGCACTTGAACTTATTAAACTTCATCTTATTGGACTCTACCCATCCGTCCGGCCATTCCAGGTCTCTCTGCTGAGCCCTCCTACCTTCCAACAGATCGACACATGCTCCCAGCTTAGTGTGCAAAATTACTGATGAAAGACTCAACACCCTCATCCATGCCACCAATAAAAATATTGGACAGAACTAGCCCCAGCACAGAAGACCCCTGGGAGACACCACTGGTGACTGATCCCCAGCTGGATGCAGCACTGTTCACCACCACTCTCTGGGCCCGGCCATCCAGCCAGTTCTTAACCCAGCAAAGAGAGCTCCTGTCCAAGCCGTGGGCTGCCAGCTTCTCCAGGAGTTTGCTGTGGGACACAGCGTCAAAGGCCTTGCTGAAGTTCAAACAGACAACATCCACAGCCTTTCCTGCATCCACCAGGTGGGTCACCTGGTCATAAGAGGAGACCAGGTTGATCAAACACAACCTACCCCTCCTAAACCCATGCTGGCTGGGTCTGATACCCTGGCCATCCTGTAAGTGCTGCATGATGACACTCGGTATAAACTGTTCCATTACCTTACCTGGTACTGAGGTCAGGCTAATTGGCCTGTAATTTCTAGGATCCTTCTTCCTAGAAATCCTCACACCCTTTTTGTGAATGGGTGTCACATTGGCCAGCTTCTAGTCATCTGGAACCTCACGAGTGAGCCAGGACTGTTGGGAAATGATGGAGAGCAGCTTCACAAGATCACCTGCCAGCTCCCTCATCACCCTGGGGTGGATCTCATCCAGTCCCATAGACTTATGAACATCCAAGCAGCTCAGCAGTTCTCTGACTGCCTCCTCCTGGATAACAGGGGGACTGTTCTGCTCCCTGACACCATCTACCAGCCCAGGAGGGCAGTTGTCCCAAGGACAAGTTGTCTTCCCACTAAAGACTGAGGCAAAGAAGGCGTTAAGCACTTCTGCCTCCTCCTCATCTGCAGTTACTAAGATCTCTCTCACATCCAGTAGAGAATAAAGGTTGGTCTTACCCTTCCTTTTGCCGTTAATATATTTGTAAAAACATTTTTTATTATCCTTTACAAAAGTTGCCAAATAAAGTTCAAACTGAGCTTTGGCCTCTCTTATTTTTTTCCTACATGTCCTAGCAACCCCCTTAAATGCTTCCTGAGAGACCTGATCCTCCTTCTAAAGATGATATATCCTCTTTTTATTCCTGAGTTCCTTCAAAACCTCACTGCCCATCCAGGCTGGACATTTGCCTCATCAAGTTGGAAAAGACTTTTCCAACTGACTGAGACACCCTGGCCACACATCACAAGGCACTTCTCACGTAGCTCTACTCGTACCTTTCTTCTGATGCTTATATATTTCCAGCTGCCTTTGCTGCTGCAGTCGCAGGGTGTTGATTATGGCCACAGTTAGTCGGAGAGCTTCTCTGGGATAACCATGGGAGCGCAGAGCATCCACCCGAGCACAGGCTGTTGGGACGTGTTCTGCAAGGCAAGAGCAGGGGCATGGCTGAACCAGAGGAGCACAGGCACTGACAGGATGGTACTCACGGGGCACCTTCTACTCATGCTCCCCACACCCGAACTAAACTCCTGCTTCCTGTCTTGAATTCATCCCTTTCTCCCTGCTCCTGGAAAGGATGCCTACCAGGAATACTAACGGGACTCCTGCCACATTCAACCCACAGCAGCCACGTCAATACCTAAATCCCCACCTCCGCAAAGCTTATCTAATGGAAGCATTTCCAGCACACCATTGCTGCAATACGACAGCTCCAACACAGGCTGTAACATCCCTGCCGCTCATTTCTCCTAAAATCTCCATGGCCTGTCTCGATTTCTCTCACTGCTCTCATGGCACAGGTGATGATACACAGGGTGAGGCTGGGCATTCAGCACTGTGCTGGGGACATTGGTAGATTTGGGGTGATGCTTTGAACTGACTCCTTAACACCTCCATGGAGAGAGCTCTGCAGACATCCTGTCTCTTCTGCAGTTCTCCTACCTGGTGTTTTATTATTAGGAACAGTTGCACGAAACCCCCTCCCAAGACTCACAGTTGCTTAGGAATTCATCTGCTCCTGCTGCTTATTGCTCACCTGAAATCACAAGCAACTGTGGAGAGGATTATGACTGAGTGAGAAATTAGCAGGAGCAGATGACATGACATGCTGCATAACAAGCAGCAAAAATCCCATTTTCTTTCAAAATGTCCTACCAAGGGGAGAAAAAAATCCCAGGCAAACACAGACAATCTGAGGTTATTGTAGAGGGATAATTTCTATTCCTGGAAGAGCTCAGAAATCTCTGGAAATGCAGACAACCACCTCCACAAATGGGGTATCCACATCCCAAAGGTCACCCACAAGGAATACATGAGGAAGAGATTTCAGAACAAACACATCTGTAAAAGAGCTTCTTGTTGCTCCCTCTATTCATTTGCTAAATGGATGAAATATTCATCTTCTCACTGAATTTATCACTGGAAGTTGCTGACAAATCACCCTTCTCTCCCAGCACTGAGTCCCTGAAGAGGTGCCAAGAAAGCAAAAGCGCAAAATCCAAAAATCATGGCAAATACATCAGACAAATAACATGCACCAACTAGCTGGGGAAAAGAGATCACCAGAACCCAGATCAGCCTCAGGACAGGGGAACTGTGGCCACCATGTCCCTTCCAGATGGAGTCCATGGATGCACTAACCTACAACCCCTGCCTGTGGCTGTGTAGGAAGGAGAATTCCTGCCTGCAGCTGCCCAGAACTCTTCCCAGAGCAGAAATATCCTCTCCTGCTCCAGCTAAGGTGTACCAGCAGCCTACATATGGGCCCTTCCTATCTCCTGGCATTAACAGCAACTTAGTGCCTGCTACTCCAGAAACTACATCTCTAGACAACTTTAAATATTCTCTTTCCTGGTGGCAGATCCCAGCTTCTAGAGTAGACAACAGTGAAATGGTGGGATTTGACCTGTTCTGTTTTCATATATTCATCTCTTGGACTGTAGGGCATAAGTAATCCCCATTTCCTGGAGGTGGGTGGAGACTTCTGTCTCTCATTTTGGGGTCTTAGGGCTCACAGCCACACCAGGTTCCCCCACAAGCCCTTCACTCTCTCATTCCCATCCCAGACAAGGAGCTGTCAAGGGTCATAGACCTGCCCAGGGTCATGACTTAGTAGGAGAGAATTTGTGTGGCTTGAGGTACTTGGGCTAAAAGTCTACAACACAGGAGAGCTCTTGGCTTGCCTGGTCCTGTATACCTTAAGCTCCCATCAGGCTTAATTGTACTGACTGCTAATTGCCTTTAAGGGAAGACTAACAAGAAGTGACAGCAGGAAAGAGAAAATCCAGAGGATACAGCTGTGCTTTGCAGTCAATTTTCAAGAGACTTTAAGTGTCTGGACCCCCTGTATTGGAAACAGTGAGAGGTTGCTCTGGAGACAGACAAACACTGGCAGGATGAAAAGGGACATGATGAGCTTGATCCAAACTGCCTAAAGAGAAGCCCAGACTGTAAATATGTGGAGATTGCTCTAAGGACTGTGGCTGGGGTGTGGGTGGGCATTAAAGTCTTCTGCTCCCCCCACTCCTCATGCTAAGAACCAGGGTAGCAATTTCAGTCTAGAATGCAGAAACTTGCAAGGACCCAGGGTAGCCTCACTCAGGTGACTCCCCTCCACTAGCAGCCCTACCCAAACAGGCCATGAGAGGGGCTGCTGGTTTGGACACTCACCCAGCCACAGTGGCTGTCCCTGGGAGTTGAAGAGGAGGCTCTCCCCCTCCCGCTGGTAGGAGGGGGACACGTAGAAGTCACTGCTGATGATGCGCTGCAGGTGGCTGTCCTGCCAGTGCAGGTCACAGCCCTCGATCGCCCGAGTGAACACAGTTCGTCTGGGCCTGGCCAGGGAGTCTGCAAAGAGAAAAACCATCAGTGCCCTGGTGGGGCAGAGGCAGCCTGTTCCTCCTCCCAGACATGACCTCCCTGGGCAGAGCTCTGCCTTTACAACGAGAGCAAAACCTGGTCTCACCTCAGCAATTGCCAAGATGGACACGGGCTCTGGCTTTGGATACCTCTGCCTACTGCTGCCTACCCCATCTCTGAGGGGGACTAAGGTCTCCTCAGACAGCATTGCTAAGTGACTTGCTAGAATAGCTGACTTGGTCAGAGAGGTGAGAAAAGAGGCAGGGACCACCCGCCCCTTTGCTTTGTGACCACAATCCACTGTCACACACAAGGCTGAGGCCTTGAAACTTGGCAGTGAGTTCCCTCCCCTGTGACACTGAGCATGCAGGCAGCTGCCCCAGGGTCAGGATTGGGCTTCCTCAGCATTACTGCCCTGCAAGCACCATGAGCTCCTCTGCTCCAACACAAAGTCTCAGCTTCACTGAACTGCAGCTTCTTTGATCAGCAGCATATGAAGCCATGAAGGGAACCACACGAGTGTATCTTATCGCCCCCGGGTGATGGGGTGGAACCATCACCCTCCAGCAACCTCTGTGGGCTGGGTGAGGGAGCTGGAAGGGAGGAGACAGCATCATCTGAAACCTCACTGCTGCCCTGCACCAGATATCTGTGCTCCTCTTCAGAGCTGCTCTGTAACTTCATGGGCATTTCTGAAACTACCAAATGCTGGATTAGCATTTCACCCCATCCAGACCGATGAAGACAAGGGGTTTGTTATGAGGAAAAAGCCTGTCTGGAGCAATCCCACTATCACTCCAGCCACACTGGATCATGGAGGCCAAACACAGCTGGCAGGCTGCAAAACGGGAAGCCCCAAAGGGGGTGCAATGCTCCGTGTTAGGTCCTGCAACTCGCAAGAGGGGCCGAGTTAAATGCCTTCAAGGGCGGAAAACAAAAGGCACTGTTCAAAGCTGATCCAGGGAGGCTGGGTAAACATGCTCCGGAAACGATGGCAACAAGCAATTAGCCGGAATGCTGCAGGCACCCTGAGGTGGAGAGAAATTAAACAGGTGTTTGTATGTTGAGAACCAAGCCTGCTCACTTTACCAGGAAGGATTTCAAGAATCAGCTGTTCTTCAGTAATAAAAGGGGCTGTCAACAATCTGGAGCAGTATTTGCATATGCACAAACATGAACCCCAGGACACCTCCAGGATCTGTGCTGCTTTCAGTCCCCTTCTTGGAGAGGCAGGAGCACAGGGAGAAGGGGACATCCCTGGCATCTGCTTTGGGAACTCCCTGCAGATCTAAAGTAAGTGATCTGTTCAGCCCTACTAACCTTCCCCAAATGCCAGAGCAAATCCCTAGGAGAGTAGGGAACACCAGAGGGGGTAGTCCTGAGGCTGGAGCAAGGCCAGGTTTAAATTAAGCTGCTCCCTGAGGAAGAGCAAAGGGAGGCCAGGCACGTGGTCCTGGTCGTGGCTGGGGTGGTTGGCAGGACAGCCACGCTCCCAAACTGCTGCTGAGGGACTAATCCCACCCAGAAGAATGAAGTTTTCCCTGTGGCTCAGCTGCTGTCCCCCTCTCCTCCACCCACTTTGATCACACATAATACACCAAAGAGCAATTCCAATGCAGCAGACAGAGGCATGTGAAGAGCAGTAACTTTCAATTAATGTCAACTTCAGGCAAAAGGAAGGGAAAAGAGTGCTTAAATGCAAAGGGATCAAATGTTTTGTCAGCAGTTGAGAAACTATTTTAGCACGAAGGAACAACCCCTTAACTGTATTGCTCTGTCTGTGCTCTGCACTTGAACTGCGTTAACATTCCTGGCTAATGACTTCCCTACCACCTGAATCACAGCCTTTAAGTGAGGCTTAAGGGCTGGGAAATGGGCTCTGCACCATCTCCAGCTCCTCACTCTCACATTACAGCCAGGACTTCTGAGCTCGGCTCTGCTCTGTTGCAAGCCGTACTGTTTTCCTGTTACTTCATGCCTAACCCTGCACAGACTGTAGGGGTCTAAACTCCCCCAAAGTCAACTTGCTTTAAAACAGTCTCTAAACTCAAAAACACAGGCAACTTTACTCTGTAGCAAAGAAGCAAGCATTTATATATAAAACCAGAAGCTGTGAAGACAAATATTTTGTGTTCCTATGACTCGCAGAAATGTCACCAGCAGCTGAATCGAGTTCTCTCAGTTTTGGGGTGAGTTTTGACCTGGACCCAACCCCTGTGGCTGTCAGCTGGATTTCCAGTCCCTGCCCGGACTCACCTTGGCTGTGACCGGAGCTCTGCGTAAGCGCGTTAGTGATGTTGGGAAGCTCGTTACCGTAATTGCCATCTTCCAGGGGACACACGTCCATCTCGCCCCACTTGCGCAGCTGCCGGAGCCAGCAGGATTTCTCTTCCAGCTTGCAGTGTGGGTTTAACACCACGCACACCCACAGTGCCCCTAAACAAAGCCAAGAAATCACGGAGGTGCCACTGCCATGCGTGCAGGGCAAAGCTCTCCTGCTGCTGCGCTTGCCCCAAGAGCCTGCAAGGTTCCATCGAGGTTTGTAAACTCATTTCAGAGTAACGCACGCACCCGGGAGGGGGATTTACACAGCTTTTAAATGGGAAGGAAATTAACTCTATCCCAGCTGAAACCAGGACAAAGTAAAACTCCTCCATAATGAAGCTAAATTATAATCTCATGAGATGGGGGACAGTGGGGAGGAGGGAAGGAGAGAGAGGCTGTGTATGAATTTGTGAGTGCTTCTGTCTGCCAGGACAAATCTAGTGTTTGAACTACACATCAAAGCATGCTTAAAAACACCCTGGCAAGCTGCAGAGTCTGTATCTCCAAAGACTAACCTGATTTTGATCCTACCCACGTTCCAAGCGCTTTAAAACCCGCTCTGAATGCTATTTCATCTGCCATTGTTCTTCAGGCCATTTGCATTCAACTATTTAAAAAGGAGATTTGGTGTATTTTATTTCTTTTTTTTTTTCTTTTTCAATCCCTAGTAGCCCCCAGCCTGCAGAGAAACCAGCAGAGGAACCTGGAGCTTGGCTTGATGTCTTGCAGGCAAGAGCCCACCCTGATGTGAGTCCTTTGCATCCCACAAGCCAAGTTGCTCACCAGTAGGACACCCACGCTGACACCCTCTGGGTCAACCATGGGACCTCACATGATGCTGATGATGCTGTCTGCTGTGTGAGGCAAAACCAGGACCAATGATGGGCACCATCTGTCATCATTAAGATCCACCTCATGCTTTCATAAAACAGGGCTGATACTGGTGCTGCTAACTGAGCCTTGCAGACTATTCCAGGTCACTCACTGCTCCGATATGGGCTACAGCAACCTAAGTAAGTGCAAACCCGTGAGTTCTTCTTTAGCTAATTCGATTTCTACCCAAATTTCCCTGCAGGACTGCCAGGATGCAGCATGTCCCCTCCCTTGTGCTTCCCTACAGGGTGGGATGGCTGTGGGCTGCCACAGCTGCAATGTGAGGTGTCCCCAGGGATCCCCTTGGGCTGAGCAGTTCCTGCTGCTCCTCTCTTTGCCCATGTCAAATCCTATCACACACATGGGACAACTCAGCTTCCTGCAGAAATACCCTCCCCGCCTCTCCTCCACAGGCTCAACAGAGACCTGGAGCACCTTCTTTCTCCCTGTCCAGTCTACTGCTGTCCCTTACCTCTCCATCACTCCCAGAGCCAAAGTTCCCATCCCAAAGTGACAGCCAATGGCACGACAACATCACCCACACGCCTCCACTGCACAACAAGGAGATTCCTCCACAAGCCCAAACCACCTCCCTCACTGGCTGTGTTTTGTGCAGCAGCTCCCCAGCTGCACAGCCCAGCCATTGAGCCAAACAGCCCCAAGCAAGGCTGCAGATCCAACAGGAGCCAGAGCAGCTGGTCCCTCTGCCAGACACCGTGAGGCAAACCCAGGCTGAGCAGTGATGTCCTGGCCCTGGCTCCGCTCTGGTGCCTCTCCGTTCCTCTGCATTACAGCCGAGCTTTGGTGGTGCTTTTGGGGTGCGTGTCCCCAGACCAATCCTTTGCCAGTTGGAACTTGTAGACATGTCTGGTTCAAAACATTAGTAAGGCGTGGAGGCTGTGCATGTCTGGCTCCTTGGAGCCGCCTGGCTCAGCAGGACAGACGTCACCGCGTCACAACGCAGATGGTGGCAGCAGCATCCAGGAATGGGCACAGAAAAGCAATTGCAGGCACAAGCATCAGCAAATGTCCAAAGCAGCCCTTGCCAGGTTCAACTCAATTTCTGCTCCCAGGAAACCCCACCAACACCTCACTTCCTTCTGATTTTTGAGTTGCAACATCAGCAATCAATTAACATGTAAAAGAGGTTCCTCCTTAGGGGCCCCATCCTTACCATAGCAGGTCTATGTCACTCACTCCCAGGCTCCTGCAGGCTCCCCGGAGGATACTTATACATGGCATCCTTTTAAAAATCAGGTCTCAGCTCCAGAAAATGAGTCTTCCTTAAGGAAGGGGATAGAACTTCCCACCTCCTCAGGTGGCCATGAGATAAAACCTGCACTCTTGGTGTCGGGCACTGCCTTCCCATCAGTGCTCCCTGTTGTCATTGCTCTTCTTCGCCCACTTTGGGGGTGCTTGTGTGAAAAGCAGCCTCGGGCAGTTTCAACTCACGCCTCTGAGGGTGCACAGAGCTTGGCTGGCAGGCAGTAACAAGGCTTGGTGCTCCAGCTTCACCGCCCCCAGGAATGGGATGCACTCGCTGGATTTTTGGCTCCCACAGCTCCACTAATATGTGTTCTTGGAAGCCTCATGACTTTGCTGCCTATTTTTGACAGCCCTCTGAGGCATCCTTTGCATGCCAAAACATTATGCCCCTGGGCTCTCCTGCAGAAAGAACAAAGTGGTAGGGAGGTGGGAACCAGGAGGGAAGTGAGATTTGCATCTGTCTCGGTCATGATAATTATCTGGGAGATATAATAGAGTGGTTTTCTGAGCCCTGTGGTCAAGTGACATCAGCTGACAGCACAAGTGACTCCTGTCCTGAGCCGAAATGCCACATCAGGTCAGACTCCTTGTCTCTTCACAGGCTGCAGAAACCTTCATCTGAACTTTCTGATAGCAAGAGGTTAAGTGGGGAACAAAGCGGCAGATCACGATTAAGCTAAGCCTCTAAACAAAAATGCTTTTTGATGATGGGGCTGGGTGCAGAGACGGGGTCAGAGCCTTCCCAGCCCAGTGGCCCTGGCTGCTGGCCCCAGAGAAGACAGGCACTCCAATCCCGTGCCCAAGTTTCCCAGCCATCAAAGAAATTCTCCCGTTTCCCACAGGGTCGCTCCCCGGCTTAATCTGCTGAAATTCCCCACTGTAAACAAGTGGCCGAGATAAATAAACCCGTCTCCAGGCAGATTAAGGTCAGGCTGCACTTCAGCTGGTTTTTCGTCTATTTTTTGTAATTAGGCTTTAATCGTAAGTACTAATGCGCCAGGGCAAATACTCCCACGCTGCTGAGCTCTCCATCCAGCAGGTCCTTCCTCTGGCTCCCAGCAGACGGGGCAATAGAGGTTCAATTGGCAGCACATGAACAAGCGAACGATCCCGTTTTTATTTTAATTTTCTTTTTTTTTTATAACTCTGAAATCCTGTAAAATCCTCTACATTTTCCCCAGCATAAATCCACAATCTTCTTTAAGGCTGATCTTCTTCCAATCCCACGCAAGTCTGTGAAGCAGTCTTTGCTAAAATCGATCATTAATAATTAAACACGTGCCCAAAATAATTTCCAAAAGGACCATTTTTTGCTTCTAAGTGGTGGATTGTGGTCTGTGCCAGGGCTTCCCGTGGCAGCTGGCAACAGGCCACTCATCCCTCCCTTCAGCAGTAATGGTAACGCTGGCACCTTAGGCATCCACAGCCCACAGGCAGTGGGATGTGGTGATTCCACTGCCCCACGTGCCCTGGCTATTGCTACCTGCCCAGGGATGGTTTAGGACACCTCTCTGCATTCCTGATGTTTGTTACTGGTGATTACCCCCAATTCAGAACAGCTCTGGTCTCTCTGTGGCTCCACACCTCCTTCAGAGATATGCTCTGTTCCTACAGCAAACACTGCCCAAGGGCAAATGCAAAAGGCTTCCATAAAATGGGGGAATAATTCCTGCTTTGAGTACAGTCCATGCCCATCCTGGAGCTGCTTCTTGGAACATCACTGTGTCCTCTACAGGAGCCTCTCCTCAGCATGGAGATGCCCAGACCCTCACGTGTGACATGCCTATGCCAGGCGAGCTGCTCTGACGTGTGTTGGCTGGCACCACACTTCCCCTGCTGTCGTGTTGATCCAGCACTGGTAGGGCCCTGACATTCCCCAGTCACTTTGCCATCTGCCAACAGGAACATGCTGCCACCTCCTCCCACTCTGCCGACCAAACCTGCGTGCACCAACCTGGTCCTTGTACAGTTAAACCAAGACTGAAACCCAACCACTTTCCCCTCGCCTGGGCAGGAAGGGAGGGAGGGCTCTTGGCTTGGATAGCAGCTTGGAAATCTGGCCAAATAATCTGTAATTTTAAGCAAATTGCTTCCTGAGTCCAGGCCTGCCCACACACCCATCCATTCATATATCACCAATGTGTTTGCTTTCTTCCATGTGGAAATTCTGGCTTGGTGGACTTGGCCATCTCTGCAGGATCCTTGCATATCCAATTGTCTAGCTGCAGCATCCCAAAATCCTGGAAATATCTTCTTGGCAAGCAAGCACAGATGAGCTCTCCAGAGCTGGTGTGGTTATTTCCATCCAGGAAACTTCATACAGAAACAAGACATCCCAGCCCTGCCCAGATCTTGTCTGCATAGTTTGGCCAGGGTTCTCAGCTTCATTTCTGTTTGCATTTGCTGGGCACTTAGTAGGTGGGTATGTGATTCCCAGCTGCAGTCTCAGATGTTCCAGATCCCAGACCATCCTAATCCTTCTTCCAGCTCTACCATATCCCTTTGGTGCCAGCCCATCAGCCCTTGCCCTTGCACAGTATCTCCTACCAGCAGGCTGCAGAGGAGCTCAAACTCACTCAACAAACTATGGCTTAAGTCAAACTATTCACCCAAGATCCCACATGTCCAGGAGAGCCCAGAACTGCAGGGTTAACTTCACCACACAACCCCACTCCCCAAGCTCACGTCATCTAAATGTTTTATTCTAATGATATTACAGTGTCAGCCAGCTGAGCTGGTGTCTAAGATGCTTAGCTAGAATTACCCAGAACTGCATTTCTCTCACAGCCAGGCTCTGTGCTGCCCATCCTGCCCCCTCAGCCTGGAAACGTGCACTACAGCAGACAGAATCTGTTAGATGTGATGAGACTTGAGAACCTGCCTTTCCCTCTCTGGATCATGGTTCCTCCAGGAACAGAACTTCCACATCCAGGCTACATCCAGCCCCTGGGGCTCTCCAGCCCCGAGTCCTCCCTTGCAAAGGCTTTGAGGCAGCTCACCAAACACCAGCCTGCTGGAAGCATGGGATCAGCAATACACAGCACACCTGTCATCTTTGATCCCTTTGCAGGAGAGGGGCAGGTTTAAGGTTTTGAACTGTGTGGTTTGGGCCTGATCCAGCTGTCTCACAGTGATTCCCTAACAGGGCATACAGGAAGGTCTTGGCATGTCTCAGGGTCTCTGTTCCCAAAAAAGAGTCCCATAGGGCCTCTGTAATGATGTCCATTGGCCCAGCAGCCTAGGTAACTCTGCTCCTCTCTGCGAGGCAGTGACCCTTACCCAGCTCATCCCAGAGCTGCCGGCACTTCTCTGTTATGCCTGTCCCCTGCTGCCTCCAGAGGGAGAGCCGAGGATCAGCCATGAACTGCTCTGTTATCAATGTCAGCATCCTGGCCCCGTTGGAGTCCCTCATGCGCAGCATCTCCCGGACCTGGAAAGGACAAAGAGAAAGTCTTGGGTGAGACAAACCATGATCCCTCAAGAGGTGTTTGAGACATGTTCACCTGTCTTGCAACCCACAGCTCCCTCCCTGAAGGTCCAGACTGTAAATACAAACATACATATATGTATGTGTGTATGTGTGTATATAATATGTAGTCACACATTATAATCCTTATGCAATGGCTGTGATGAGGCTGATTGGAGCCCAACTGAGTAGCAGTCACAGCCAGACTGTGAAGGAGACTCAGACTAAGAACATGAAAGCAAAGCCCTTCTGCAAAGAAAGAGAAAAGCCCATAGGTTGGTGAGGTTTGTGGGTTATGGTCCCGCCTTCCCATAGTCTTGGTAGACTCTGCAGGGTTGGCTTTTTCCCCTCTGAGCTAAAGGGGAGATGGGGGAATGCACTTCCTTGCACAGGGATCACAGCACTCATGGGAGGAGGGAACCTGACAGGATAGCAGGTGAGACAACCCAGGCCTGACCCAGAGCCTGGATTACAACTGCCTGCTCCGTGACAGGGCGAGAAGGCACTGGAGCAGAGATTCCCAGCTGTGATGGGCACCCTGCCAGGGCAGCCAGTGAGTGCCAGCTACGTGACATGTTGAGCAGAGATGGGAGAGAGCAGCCGGCTCCTCCTCACCTTGGCAAACATGGAGTTGAGCTGCTTCCCCGAGCCGTAGTACCCTCCCTGAGATAGGAACAGCTTCACCTGCTCTCGGACCTGCTCCTCGTCCAAGTGCCAGCAGTTCTCGTCATCGATGCTGGCCCCAGCAGTGGGGTCAGGAGCACCTGAGAGGATGGGGGGAAGAAGAGAGACAACCAGGTTTATGGCAGCAGGGTCAGCAGTCCCACTAGCAAGGAGTGGACCTACCTCTATTTTATTAGGGACACACCTTTACTTTATCAGCTCAGGTGGCAGAAAACCAACTTGGTTCCTCAGCAGTGAGCTCAGCTGGCAGCACTGTGCTGTTCTAACACAGCCATCAAGAGGGATCCCGATCACAGGACTAATGCTTGCATAGCCCCTCATCCTCTGCACCCCATGTGAAATGAGGCTGAGGAAGACCAGGGACCTGCCTTCCTCCAAAGCCCCAGGAGTGCAGGCAGCACAGCTGCAGAGCCCGGAGCGCTCTGCGGCTCCAGGGATTGCCCAGCGTGCTCCTGCTCCACATCACCGGTTTGTTAAAGCATCAGTAAAGCTCCAATTCCTGCAAGCCCTTCCCCATGTCTGGAACAGTCTAACAAAGGTACTACTGCACTAGGGCTCCAGAGCCCTGGGTTAAACACTTGGTCCTGCCCCTCACTTGCTTTAGGACAGAGGACAAGTCCCTGGGCATCAATGTACCTGCCTGAGAGAGACCTTCCATGAGAAAGAATGAAGGATCAATAATCCTTCAAGGAGCAAACTGTGACCAGAGCAGGGCCTTTGGCAGGCACACATATGCATTCACAGGCTGCATTTCATCTTCCAGAGAACGAAATAAAGACAGAAAACATACAATTGATTTAAACAAGTTGGACCAAATTTCCCTTGCCTTGCCCCTTTCAATTCCCATTTTCCTACCCTACATCCCAGCCATGAGTTCCAGGGCTCACAGGACAGGCAGCAGCACAACTCCAGTGAGCAGCCAAGAGCACCAAATGGAACAGAAACTTGGATTTTCAGCTGTCTGCTTTTGGATCCTACTCTACAGAAACTCCTTAGGGAAAACCAGTACTGAGCAGGGACTGCTGCAGCTGGAGGATGCTCCACTCTACTTTGGTCTGCTTCTCCTAATTTCCCTCTCAAGAGAGAAAGAGGGTCAGCACAAGAGCAAGGTGCTGCATGAGGAGCCATGGGATGCTGTAGCTAATACATTCCAAATTAAATCTTCATGATGTCTTTTCCAAAACTGGGATCTGGTTGGGGAGCAGACATCACTTTCCTACAGATATAGCCTGGGTGTGCTGTGCACCAGCCTTGTGTGTTGCTGAACTAGGAGCTCAAACACAATTCATGAAAATTGTGCTCCAGGATGCATGTTCAGCAGGGCAAGTGTCTCCTCCTGGCTTGTAAGCAAGACAACATCAACCTCAGGGGTTCTACTCCTCCAGCAAAGGCTGAGAACACTCCTGACCTGCTAAGATACAGTTATTTGTATTTAATGTCCTTTACAAAATTACTTTAATTTCTGCTAACAGTCACTGCCTGAGAGAAATTCCAGCAAGCTCTAGGCATGCTGAAGGGACAGGATGCTGCTGCTCCCTCTGCAGAATAATTTATAGTCAACACAACCACATAATTGGGACGAGAGCTGAAGCAGCAGAAAGGAAATCACAGTTCCTGGATGAGCATGAGGACTTTTGCCACATATGCCCTGATCCTGATCCCACTCCCCTGCCATAGCAGTTAAACCCTTAGCTCCCAGCAAGGGGAGAGTCCTGCTCAGTGTTCCATCAGTCAGCTCAGAGTCCTGCCATAAGCCAGGAGGGACAATCACAGCCAGGGACAGGGACAGTCCATGCCGGCCCTCTGAGCTTTTCTGTGCCTTTTGCTTCCCTCCCCCAGCCTCATCCTTATCTCACAGATAAAGAGCAGACAAGCCAGTGATTATCCCCTATCAGGAACCGATGACTAATCTGTCTACCACAAGTGCTTATCCGGCCCCATCGCTAGGTATCCCAGACGCTTGCACTCTTAATATCCTCATCCCCACCATCCTGCCAGCCACTCCCAGCTGCAGCTATAGCCAGAGCAGCCTCGACTGCCTCTACAGGGTCACCTGTCTGCATGGACAGGGACCAGGAGGACGTGGATGCCTGGGGTGATTCATCCCACCAGAGCTCAGCTCATCCCTCGTCCCTCACCGTGGCCACTGTGACAGATTAGGAAGGAGGAGGTCACAAAATGCAAAAAGTAGTGCATTTTTGGGGGTTCCCGGGGCTACCCCTCGCTGCCTGCTGCTCACACGTAGCGTTAGCGATGGAAAGCCCGAGCAGCAAGGAAGGGAGTGTGCAGCTAAATAAAACCTCCTCCTCCCACGCAACACATTGAGCACTTCGCACGTTGGGGTTCGGGCCGCAGCCAAATTAACAACGCGCCTCCCGCGCCTCCAAATAAAGCCCAAATTTGCTTGTAAATGTATTTTTCTCTCCTATAAAAGATTCAGAGAGAAGGCTGTAATAGCGAATTCCCACACGTGCAGCACAACCCCGCAGATAACGGGCTGCCCAATTACGCTGGGGAGCTGGATAAACATTTAAGAGCAAACAACAGGATTTGTGCTGGGTTTAAATATTAATGGCAGGATTTGTCCACTTCCCCTTGCCAGCGTTCACACCATGGGGGCTTCGGCAGCGGTATGCCGTGACGCAGCTGATGAGTGATTCCATGTCTCACTCAGCTCCAAAGGAGCTGGGAACGGCATGTAAAACAGCCCGGCGCCTGCATAACACATTTCTCATATAGCAGCATTCGTGCTCCAAAGAGCCCTGTTTCAGATGTGCTGGATCTTGGTCCTGCCGGATTCAGATTTAAGGAAACACCATTGCACATCTTGAGTGGAAAGAGTGTTTCACCAGCCCGTTTACACTGGCTGTAGAAACTGAGATAAAAATGCAATCCATCACACCCGAGCTGGGCTCCCCCTGAGCTGGGAGCTTGGGGGTTTAACTGTTTGACAGCCAAGTGAGACTTGGCAAATACAGTGACAGAGAAAAAAGGACTGGAAAAATCTACAAATTAGAAAATAGAGTGAAGTCAGGCATGGAAAATTCAACTCCTTGCTCAGAAATTAGCTGCCCAAGATGAAGAAAATAAAAGGGGCTACTGGACTGGGAAGGTGCAGGTTTTCAGGGCTGAGGAGTCAGTACAACCTTGTGGGTCGTGCCAAAGCATTGGTACATCCCAAACCAAAGCTCCTGAACCCAAGAAGGGGGGGATATATCAGTGAGTAGTGTGGAGAGCACTCCCAGAACATCTGACTTGAAACAAGATTTGTGATACAAAGAAAAAGGAATGATTGTTATTTTTAACCAGTACCTGGAGCTGATAAAGTGATGCTAAAAGCCACCCAGTGATAAAGGTGGCTGCTCCAGCATCTCCCTTATGGTCACTTCACCCAGCTGTGCCTGGCAGCCATCAGTGGTTTGGGGCCTGTCCCTGCCAGCCCTGGGGTCAGTGGTGCCTGGAACAGGGCTGGCTGTCGTGGTGGCCATTCACAAGGGCCATCTCACGACTGCACATGGTGGTGTTGCTGAATGCCTCTGGGCTCCTCTCCGGCGTCCAGAGAGAAAACAGATGTGAAGGATCAGCTCAGGGCGGGGGGTGGGGAGGACACGGACAAATAAGCAAACGGCAGAAAACCTTGAAGAGAAAATAACCAGGCACCAGAAAGGAAATGAACTCTAACAAGGGATTAAAAATAGCAGCAAAGCAAGGAATCCAGCTCCGCCAAGACTCTGGGTTCGTTTTCAAGTGGAGGCAAGTCAGAGTGAGCTGCCAGAGCAGCATGAAGATTCACATACACCTGACAGCAACGGGGCAAGGGAATCCAGACTGGCTCCCAGCATGGTGGACAGGAGCAATCTGGTCCAGCTGGTACCAGGATCTGGTGCAGCCGACTTTGGAAGCTGCTTGTCAAGCACCACTCGTGCTCGGGAGTCATCTGGCAACCCCAGTCGCTCTGCGAGACAAGGGGAAAAGCTGCCTTTCTCTTCAGCACTCAGGTGTGTTTTTTCCCTTAAATCCACAACAGTTTGGCAAACAGGAACACAAATGCCCCGGAGATCTGACCTTCTCCTCCTCCCCCGTGGGAAGGCAGAATTTCAAATAGATTTACTGGTGCTGCCCTCCAGACACTGTCTCGGGATGACCTGAAAGTCAAAGAGCGCCCGAGGACTCCTCAAACATCAGCCTTGGCTCAGTGTGACAGGACAGGCAGGGACGTCCTGCACACTGACCTGGCAGCCAACTTGCTGTGCACAAGGAGTGAGATGGGACAGTATTAGCCCAGGAGCTGAAGGATAGCTCAAGGTGGTCAAGAATGCATGTGGGACAAAAGGGAATGGATGAGGCAGCAGGCTTCTTATGGCTTTTGCATAAGGAGATCTGCTTTTCCCATGCCAATGCCTGAGGGATCATTCCCTTTAAAGGTTTTCCAAAAGTCCTCTCCTTCAAGGAAGCTCCCAAGACCCTCCAGAACCACAAAGGCCCGTTGGTGATTCACTCGGCTTGTCCTCAGAGGGAGTTGCCCCTGCACCTTTCAACAGCAGAGGTTTTGTGGCTTTTCTCACTTCTGGTTGAGAAGAACATCCCAAGCCCTTTGATAGCACCAGCTGAGCACCACAGATACAGTGTCATCCACTGGCATTTCCGTGACCCCAGCCACAATTCCAGGACTGAGGGCATCAGCACTCTCTGCAATGTTCACATGCTGTTCAAGCTGGGTGAGTTACAGAGCTGCAAACATGGGGTCTGCCAAAATCTCCTGCAACAAAGGGGGAGAATTCATCGATGAAGCATGAAGGATACCTCTAAGCCCCAAATCTTCTGGGGCAACAGGCACTGTCCCATCTTTAGGCTCTAAGAAAAGCAGAGGGAACAAGGCGCCAAGGTAGCCACCACCAGATGATCCTCACTCCCTTGGAATCCCAGCTGTTGGATCCAAACTTTCCAGCTGCAGCTTCTGGCTGCCCCCAGCATTCTACCCACCAGGACAGACCAAGCAGCCACGAGTCACTTTTGCTGATGCAGCGACATCCTTGCAGCCTTGCTCTGTGTCACGCAGCCACACTGCTGGCTTTGTCCCCTTGGGGAGGAGCACTGAAACCCACCCTGGTCTCCTCCCTCCAGCTGCCACTCCAGACGCCGAGCGTGGAGGTGCCAGACACGCAGGATGCTCTCGCTGGCACACGCTGCCCTTTGCAGCCACGCCACGGGAGCAGAAACGTGACCCACTTCAGCAGGCAGAGGTCAAGTGGGGAGCAGAGCAGCAGGCACACCTAGGCTCTGCTTGGACTGAATCCTTCGGGAACACGCAAGCGCCTTGGCTGCGCTCCAAGGCTCCATCATTACTGGATAGTTTGCATTTCCTTCTAGGAAGACAGCCGGGAAGATCGGCACGCCGTGCACAGCCCGCGGCTGCAGACTCCTGCAAGGAACAAAGCTCCAATGCCCGGAGCTGAGCGTGCCAGACAATGGACAGTAATTTTCTCTGCCATTCAGGCTCTGCAGGAGGAAAAGAAGCATCCCTGAAAGCCTTATTTTAGAAAATCAGACAACCCCCTTGCACAAGGGGCATTCCCCAGCCAGCCTGGTGCAAAATCTGTTCCTCAATCCTACATGCTCACCATATAAATAAGGGAAGAGGAATCCTTTGGGTGACCAGAGGCAGGTGAGGAAGACCTGATGCTGATACGAAGCTCAACATACCTCTCCTCAAAGGATGGAGGGGCAGGGGAAAAAAGAAGGATTTCCAGAGAGAACATTTTTGTTCCAGGATGTAATTACTTCAGGTGTCCAGTGCGCATAGTGGGTTATTGTCGGGGTTGCAGAGGTTGGCCTGACAAAAGCCACCTTGGCCCCAACCCCAAGGCTGGGGTGTGACTCCAAAGGTCTGAAATGTACACGGTCAATAAAAGCACATAAAGCTCTCTGTAGAGCACATCTTGAAGAATTACCAATCCCAGGATCAGTGACCCACTACAGATGCATGATCCACAGCTGGGAAGGGCAAGATGGGGGACAAATTTGGATCCACTTCACCTGGAGACCCCAGAATTCCTCTCCCACAAACAGACCCCTATGGCTGCAGCCCTTCCTCACCCTGGGGTCAAGTAGGTCTGCAGTGTAGTTGGTTGCACTCTCGCTGTGCTTCTGGCAGGACAAGGAGGGCAAAACCTGCAACATTGTCCAGGATCAAGAAAGAATCGAAGACCTGGACAACATCACTATAAACCTGAATGTGAGGCGTTTGGAGTCTTCCTTTTCACAGGATGCAAAATTTATGAGTTATAGATTACCTTAAGATCATGTCATCATATGAAGGCTGATCTGCATCCTCCCCCAGGGTGAGACAAGCCCTCCTCCTCTGCTCTCCTGCTTGCAGAGGTGTTTACTCACTTGTGATTAGCCAGGCAGCCACAGGGGTGTCAGATAGGTGCCACCCTCTGCAGAGTGACCATGTCTCTGTTGATTCAAAATTGCACAACCGAGTGCGTGAATTCGCACAAATCTGAAGGAAGTGAAAATTTTTGCTTTGTTTTCTTTTTTAAACCATTTGTAAAAACAAGAAGCAGATATTGAACTGGAGCCAACATCTGTATCTTTGTAAGACTCTCAATCACCAGCCTTTTGCTGACTCTAGAGCAATAAATATTCAGAGCCTTAAAAGCTTTACTTCAATCTGCTTAAGAGAAAGCAGCCTCAAACAATGGCCAAGAAGGGATCTTGCCCAGCCTCAGCTTCAGTAGATCAGTTCAGAGAGTAGATGGCCCTCACCAGATCATTGCAGCATCACAGCTCCTCATTCTTTCACAATGCCAAAAATTGAAGGCCCCACGCAAAAGCCAGTTACTTAGAATACAACCAACCATGCAGCAGATGTGGCCCAGCAGAGGAGACAAAGGCCTCTCCCAAGGTAGGAACAGGAATGACCAGATAGAGAAAGATGAACACATCTAAGATCAGAGCTGCCATCACCCCCACAGTGACGGTGGCTCTGGCCTTACTTCTCTACATGTGGATTCAACTAGTTCAGACGGTATTTTAGGCTGCATATGGGGCTTTTCATCTTCAGAACACTTAACAGGCACGTGTTAATCCCTGCAACGCCCTTCCGTGGCAGATAAGTGTTTATTATCTCTGCTCTACAGCTGGTGGGACTGGCACAGTGGGGAACAGCTCATTGTTGCAGACCCTAGGCAACCTCAGCTCCTGTGCTCCTTGAAAAGACACAGTGGGAGATCTCCAGGAGCCTGGGCCACATCCTGGGCCAGAGGAGCAGGGCTGAACTGGGCACTGTCCCCCAGATTTCCAGGGAAGGAAGTCAAAAGCATCTTCCAAACAGAAAGCCCCAGGACATATCTTCACTGCCTTTGTACAGTAGGTAAGAACAGTGGCACTCATTTATTATGGGCAAATTAATGCCCACGGAGATTAAAGCTTCATCTCCTGCCAGCTCAGCCACATCTGACTTAGTGCAGGGCTCGGGCTGACACTTTGTCCCCACGTTCTGGAGGAGCCACATCCCCACTGTACCTCCCACTCCACAGGGTCCCAGCACCACGTCCTTGGCCTCTCCATTCTACTCTGAGCTGTGCCTTGTGCACCACCAGCCTATCAGCTCTGCCTCTTCCTGCCTGCTGAAGCCCATGTTTGACAGATAAACACATAAAGAAAAGCAGAGGGCAGGATGGGGACACCCCAGTCATGTGGCCCCAACACCCACGCATTAACATCACTGTGACACTGCCAGCTCTTGCTGTGTGGCAAAAGACAGATGTAAAATGAAGGACATCACCATGGGCACCAAAAGCACCGCCCCAGCCCCAAACACAGAGTCAGGGTCACACGGTGAGGAGGGAGGAGGAATTACCGTGCACTTGGTTGATCTCGGAGTTGGATGACAGGATCTCATCAGCCAACTTTTGGGCGGTGGGCAGCACCTCGGTGTGGTGTGCTGTGATCAAATACTGAACAAACTTCTGGAGCTGGTCCCTGTTCATCTGGAAAAGGGTCTCTGAGATGGGAAGACGGAGTTTGACCTGGTCTGGCTTGCGGATCCTGTACAGTGAAAGCGCCACGACGTGAGCGCAGTAAAAAATGTCCTTGTTCCCACAGCCGCATGTCACCGAGGTGATTTTGCAGCGGTCGAAGCTGATGGCCACCTTGTAGGTCATCTCTGGTTCTGTTGCAGTCGCTGGCTCTGTGACTGTTCCGCTGAGGTGGAACCCTGGAAAGGGAAAGAAAGAGAGGGAAAGGTCAGGTTAGCTTCCCTCTGACCACAGCCACCCATGCCAGCTCTGGAAGGAAGGAAAGCCAAGGCTGCTTGTGTGTCTCTCTCATATGCCAAGGAGTGCAGCACCCAGCACAGCCCATTCCCGTGGCTTACACCCAGCAACACCCAGCCTGTGTATACAAACACACTTCTGCACCAACACACACACACACAGCCAGACTCATCGGCGAGTTTATTTAACAGCCAAACCCTCAGGGGAAGAGCGAAGCTGCTCGGTTCCCATTTGTTTAAGTATCTCAGACTGTTTCTCTCCTGGGAGTCATTTCCATCCACGCCTCCCTCTCGCTGAATTTGCAACTCACATGAGTGAGGGCTGGTAGAAAAAGACCACGTTTGCTTTTCTTTGATGAGGCAGACAAAAAAACCCACAAACTAAATGCAAAGCAATTCCAGCTTTGGTCTCTCAACCAGGTAGAGTGCTCCAGGGCTTGGTCACAGCTCTGAGCTCTTCCACACAGTGGAAATAAAGAGCAGGGACAGGAGCTATGCACAGTCCAAACCATAGCTAGGGGAAAACCATTCTACAAATCGTTCACACCAATGTTATGGCGCTCCTGACACTTCCCACCATGCAGAAAGGGGGTGCAGTGCCTTCAGGCACAAATTGTAAAAAAAAAAGCCCCCAGAAGTTCCAAATGCAGGTGAGGAATGGGCTCAGAAAGTCCCATGGGTCCAAAAAAAAGGTGGATGTACCAAGCAAATGAGGGACTAAGTCAGTGAGATGAGACTGACCAATAGATGCCTATCAACCTCACTTTGAATGGGAGTCTCAGGGAGTTCTTCTCACAATCCAGCTGCTGAGTGGGTCCAACACCAACACTCTGCACTTGCTCAGCCACCTGGAAAAGGGATATTTTTGTTTCTCACATTCGTTTGCCTTCTTCCTTCAAAGAGACTGAGGCTGCACCAGAAGGTTAATCATGGCCAGGGCAATCCGGTGTCCCCATGTCAGAGCATGGTGTGGGACCTGGCACCCCACACTGCCCATCCCAGCCATCCTCCCTGGGGAGGCTGCTCACTTTTCTCCATGCCACTGCAACCTTATTAAGCCTGTGTATGTACAGGTCCCTGCAGAGTCTGCCATCCCCTTGGAGAAGGCAGCAGACAGCTGAGAGCCCTACAATTAGTGGCAGAAAAGGAGAAGGGGTGGGGGGGGTGAAGATTAAAATACATTAACTGCATCAAACCCTTGTGCGTTTGCCAGCTCTTACAAAGGCTTTCGGAGACAAATTCTACCAGAGGTTTTTAATAAATGGCATCAAAACCAGCTATTCACTGCCAGTCTCTTTAAAGCCACGCCAAAAACCACATTCAAATCTGATTAAGCATCAAGGAGGTCTGCTTTTACTTTAGTGCAGGGGCGGGGGAAAAGCAGACCTGTTCTGCTGCCATCACCCAAAAGCCACCCCATGTGGCCAGCAGAGCAGGAGGGGAGGGATGGACAGCCCTGCACTTCCTTCCCTCCCTGCTCGCAGGCTGCCGGAGCAGGAGCGTGGCTGTGGAGCTGCCGGGCTCAGCGCCGCGGGAGCAGCACGGCCAGCGGCTGACGAGCCTCCCCCTCCACACAAGCCCGTGCCACGGCAGCCAAACTATATAAATCCAGAGGATAAACTCCAAAGTGTTTATGTTTTACCACTTCTCTGGTTTGCAATGCTTGGCAGGCAGTTCCAACTCACTGCCAGTTTCTCCCTAGTTTACTTTTTGAACAAGTTAAAGGGACTGGAAACCGCGTTCCTGAGCAACTATGTATGTATATCCTCGTATGTATGCCTGCACACACAAATATAAAACACTCTAGGACAAATTACTGGCCATAAACACTGCCTTGAAATGCTTACTTTAACAGGACCGTGGGCCAGACCCCACTTGGGGCTAACTGGTGTAACGCTGGATGAACTCATTTAACCAAATGACCTGTTCCAGACAGGTATAAGTCTGAAAATATATCAACTGTGATCTGATCTAGCCTCTCAAGACAGAATATTTGTCTAGATACTTCTCAGGCTATTCTCAGGCATCCCAAAAGCTGTGCTCTCCCATCTGCTGCAAGAGTTGGTCTTCACAACTCAGATCAGGTCTGCACATAGAATAGGACCATTCAGTATGTCAACAACTGCCAAGTTCATCTGGCACTCGAGCCCCAAGTCAAGTGTTGGTTTAGATTTTAGCCGTGGTGACAGCAGGTCTATTTAAGATAAACTAGGAACTCTACAAAACATTTATCAAAAGTTGAGTCAGAAATTAAACATGGAGGGGTGGAAGAGAGATGAGCTGGCAGGAACAGAGGCATTATTTGTGAATATTTACATTAATGTGAGGTCAGACTTCAGCTACCACTTTGCAGCCAGGTCTGCACCCCAGCACCTATGGCTGCTGAGCACATGAGCTCAGCAGGGATGGGCATCACTGTCCCAGAGAAGAGTGGTGGCTAAAAGGTGGCTTTAGGTGTGGTTACTTCATTGTCCATTGAAGCACACACTCCTGCTCCACACAAACACTGATGCTATCACCAAAAAGCTATAGGTAACCCTGGAAAATTACAGCTGTCACTGTACCCTCCTCTCTGTTCATCTTGCATCCTAGGAGCTGTGATACCAGCATTTCAGTAGGGAGAAATACAGCCCTGATCACTGACACAAGATCTGGATAGCACTGAGAGCAAAGACACACTCTCCTCTGCGTCCTCCCTGTACATTTCAATTTAAGACATTCCTACAGCCCAGTGCTTATCTAGGACTTCATCTTCTGTTCTTAACATAAGCTAACTTGGTGTTTGATTTGCTGCCAGCAAAGTGACAGTGCCAAGGCTTGAAAACCATGGAAAAGAAATAATTAAATATCATCTTTGTAACTACAGACTCATTACACCCCTCCAGAGTCAAGCTTTGTCCCAAGAACAACATCGCCTTTTCCCTGCCCCAGAACACCCTCTCCTACTTTTACCACAGAAGATCCCAGTGGATGTCTCTTTGATCGAGGTTCTAAAAGGAGCTGAGTGTTCATAACTGCCCCAGAAAAGGCACAGAAAGGTGCCATGAATGTCCACGGGCACACAAGGTATGATGAGCTCATCTCTTTCTAATCCCAGTCATCTAACCCATCAAATGGGGACAAAACACTGGAGCAAGAACCTTCCTTGTTTTACTGCTACAGGACATTGCACCTGGGACATAAATTAAAACACACCCTAGAATTGTTTTCCAGGAGTTTGTGAGCTCCACACCGGTGGAACTTTAAAACTTGTCAGCTGGGCAGCACTCTCCTCTTTGGAGCTGATAAACCCTGCAGGCTGGGAGGATGATGGATCCACAGAAAAAAAAAAAAAGTATCCTGGGCTCTCAAACAGCTATAAAGGGTCAAGCCTTTAGTAGAGACCCCAGTGCAGGAGACTTTGCTATTAGGACAAAAGCATTAACACCTCAACAGAAGCATCTTTAACCAAGATGATAAACTATTTGATTTCTAAACCTATTTGACCAAAAGGAGTTGTGCAAACCCTTCCAGCTCTGTAAGAGCAGAGAGTCTTTCAACAGGATATCTTTAACCCAGATATCCATATGCCAACCATCAGCAGAAACCATTAGCCTGTCCTGCAGCTCCAACCTACCATGAGGCCAGCTGCAAAGAACCCTTACTTTGCGTCCTCCAGCAAATCACTGAAGATAAAGCAAACATTTTGGCTGGTTACAATGAAATACCTGGAGTCTGGAGACAGGAAGACCCCCAGATGGAAATTTAAACCCCAAAAACAAGCGAAACCCAGGCACAGTCCTTCCCTTCTCATAACTGTGGCACCAACACCTGCAAGAGAGGACTCCTCCTCCACACCTACCACACTAGCTGGGAACCTGAGTGCTCAGCTCTGCTCCCCCCGGCAGCTGCTGCTCACAGCCATCCCTCAGACTTCACACCGCAGCCCAGGCAGAAGTCACAGTTGTCATTTCCTAAGCTGTGCCATTTGGAAAAAATTAGCTCTTTCTTCCCAGGCGTGGCAGTCCTTTCCTGGAGCATTGGCACATTCCCGCAGGGGTGGAAAGCACCACAGAGCTGCAGGACCTAACCCTGAGGATGCTGCACTGACATTGCTGTGTGAGAGGATGGGGGCCAGTAACACAAGGGCAACACAGGGAGCATTTCTTCATGGCACTGCGGTTCTTCTGTCTCCTCCAGAGGCTTTTCTCTGTCGTTGTGGAAACCTTGAAACAGAGTAAGGAATGGCTTAGCAGAGGGAAACATGCACCACATCCATGCCCTGAGCACGGACCGCTGGTGGGATGTGGCTGAACAGTGTACATAAAGAACTCACAGCCACACCTGGCTGTCAAAACCTCAAGTAACCTCCTAGTACCTGAGGCTGGTATTTTGGGCAGCCTCTGTTTGGAGCAACGTGATGGAAAGTCCATCCACGCAGCTTCCTGAAGGCACTAGCCACATCCCCTTGCATCGTGGCCAGAAAGGGGTGGCTGTGGCAGACAGCAGCTTGGCTGCTCACTGCTCTTGTACTCTGTGCTCAGCTCCCAGGTTTCTCCATCTCTAGCCAGACTAACCCCACTCCAAATCTGTGTTTGGGGAGCTCTATCTTCAGGCAGGCAGGAGCTCTGCAAAACCAAACAGATATTTATGGGGCTCAGCAGATGTAGACGACGTAAACTGAAATTCTCGGTGCAAGTTGTATACACTAGGTTAATGTGACCCAAATATATTTTTTTTAAATTTCCAAACCACAGCGGAAAGTTATTTTAAACTGAAGTGATTCCAAGCTCTTTAGTGATTAAACGGACTGCAGCTCCAGCTCCTAGTGGAAAAACCATTTGTTTTTCCAGTGTGTGAAAGCCATAACTAGCAATGAATAATAATTGCCACACCGAGTGTTATTTATAAGCTTTTCTCAGTCACATTTCCATGCCTCGAAACAGCAGCTTTCTAAACATGAACTTAAAATTGGTCAATATTTGTAATGTAGACAACACCCACGGGAGGAAGGTGTCGGTGTACTC